TACGTCCATGGCACTGTGGTTCGCTAATTTTACGCTATTTGAAAACGCCCAATTCACAACTCTGAAAACCCTAGAATTTGGTAATGGTGAAATCGTCTACAGTGCATAATAATTCAATTAAACATATGGGTTAGCTTCAGAATAGCATAAGGAATGTAAATCATATATTAAAACTTGCAAAAAGCGCATGAATTGAGATGCACGATTATGAATTTTATTTGAAACAGTTGGACTCCATTGTACCAATTCCGGGCGTTTTGATGAATGTTTTTGATTGGGAATCGTTCAGTGAACCTCCAGGAAGGTGTTTGAACAGCTATTAAGCCTTGAATCCACCTGCAAAAGGGTTTTCAGTTTTGAATTTATTTTCAAAAATTTCAAGTTTGATGAATGGTTTCTAGCGCAGCTCCATGGTCCTTCTGATTAGGTTTTCATTCGGGCTTAAGTATAGAACCAATTAGGTCAAATAAAACACTTCAAATCTTTGGCATTCATGGTTTTTGGAGATTTGATTTTCAAGCATTATTTTTCAAATATTTTCCATGTGTTTGTACCGATCATGATCCAATCAAATTGATTCTTTCCAATCTTAACCATGCACGAAATATTGAAGGCATATCATGTATAAAAAGATTTGAAATAGTAGGTTAAATATTTTCCATGTATTTAATTTGATTTAAATGAATTATTATAAATAAAAATTCAAATAAATAAATAAAAAATGAAGAAATACTTCCCTTTGGGCCAAGTGGTCGTGCACATGCTATGGATGATGAATTGTGGAAGAAAAATGGGCCCATTAGCAAATTTAGGTCATTTGAATCAATGTTGACTTTTCAAAATATCCAAAAATTTCCCAACTTCCACAAGGCATAACTTGCTCAATTTTTAAGCTTTTCTCATGTTCTTGGACATTTTGGAAAGGTCTTTGAGTCCTCTGACCAATGCCTTTGGTCCCCTGTCATTTTGATTTACCAATCTCAAGTTATGGCCTTTGACTTAAAGTCCCTTTTTGTTGACTTTTGAAAATGACCTATAATGTTGAAATTGATAACTTTTTGTGAGAGGATTTCTTGGACTTGAAGTATGAAGATGAGTTGTAGGAAATTTCTTTCTCTTCAAAATGAGCTTTGGATGGAATTTTTCTGATAATCCATGTGAAAGTTATGCCCTGGTCAATTTACATTTGACTTTTTCAGCTGTCCAAATAAGGAAACTTTTGCACTTTGATGATTTTTGAGCCAAGCTTTGAGAATCATGATCAAGCATTGATCAAATGATGTTTGTGGCTTCAAAATGATATGTTGACCAAAAATTTGAACTTTTGACTGTCAAATGACCATTTTGCCCCTACAGTTGACTGTAGTGCAATTTAGGGTTTTGACTGTGCAATTTTGTGCTGAAAGTCTTGAAACTTGATATGAGGATGCTTGACCATATTTGTAGGCATGTGAGACTTGATTGGACCTTTGGAAACTTCATTTTCTTGATCAGAACCAAAACCCTAATTTTGCCTGCTTAGGAGACCCTTGCACTGTGCAACCCTTGGGGAATTTTGAAGCTTGGCTTGGCAATTTCTTGAAGAATATGGGAGGGAAAATTTTGGGGTACAACAGGATGTATCAATCACAGGAAGCCTACAAGCTCTCCTGATTACATCAACATCGATCAGCAGTTTCTGATATACTTCATTGCAAAGAAGACCAAGATAAACCTTCCACATTTGCTCTTCAACCATCTCAGAAAAAGTGTGAAAGAGACAAGAGAAGAAGAAAGAATTAAGAGGGATTGGATTCCTTTAGGAAGATTGATTTCAGATATTCTAATAGAAAACAGACTGATAGAACATCTGACAGAGGCTCAAGAAATCAGCACTCTAGAAGCAACTGCTGGGAAACCTTTGAATGCCAAGAATCTAAAGAAAATGAAGATATTGAAAGCATTAAGAAGGAACCAACCATTGCTTCTCATGAGGTCATCACTTCTAGGAGAATCTCTCTGAAGGATTTTCCACTATTCTCTGAGATATATGCCTCTCCAGAGATTATAGTCAGATACCTTGAAGCTTGCAAGAAAGATGGGACTATTCCATAAATCAACATCCAAAACCTGCACAAGCCAGCTCCAGAGGTTGTGCTAAAGAAATCCAGAAAAAGGAAGGCATACAGAGAAGGATCCTCTCAGAGGACACCCAAATCTGCGAAAAAGAAAGGTAACACATCTTTTGTTTTTGTTGTAGAATCAATAGATATTCCAACATCTGAAACCATTCCCCCTCAACCAACAGAAAATCCTTCACCCCAAACATTTGAGGATTTTGACATAGAGTTTAACCCATTTGTAACTCTTGGAAATTTCTTAAATGAACCTCACTCCCCCAATCCAAATCCAGAACAACAACCAGAACTTGCAAGAGTTCTCTCTGATATTGAACTATTTGATCAAGACTTTTCCTCACCTATCCCAGAAAATCCAAACACTCAATCTCAACAACCAGAAAATCCACAACCACACTCTCCTTAACCAGAAAATGAAAACCCTCTCACTCCTCAATCTAAAAATCCATCTTCTGAAATACCTGAACCAGAAATTCAACACGCTACCGCAAACAAATCAGAAGACTCCCTTTCAGACTCTGATACCACTACCCCAATTCTTGGGATAACAGAACCTCTTACGATTCGTTTACCTCTCTCCATTCATGATATTCAAGAAATACCTTCACCATATGAATCCACACCACCAAACACCCCTCACTCACCAATCCCGATTTCTGATTCTTCAACTCCCTCACCAATCAACCGTCCAGCTGACCACCTTAGAACTATCATTGACCTAGAAGCGCTGTACCTTCTAGCCTCCATCTCAAACAAAATTGCCATCCCAAAACCTAAACCAACCTTAACCAAATCAGATGTTGGTAAGAACCTGTTGATTTTTGAAACAAAAATACAGGAATGGGTTACTTCTTTGAAGCAAGCAAGCCAAGAGAATTCTAATCCTACGGCTTCTGATTCTCTGTGGGATAGATTCAGAAAATGGTTCAACTCTGAATCCCAGAAGCTGAAAGAATTGAGCTATGAAATGGCTCAGCAGAAATTCAGTGATCAGCTGAAAGCCTTCAAAGATCAAGTCCTAAGCCACTAGGACAAGAAAGAAATTCTTCTGCTGGAAAATGCTCCATGGAAAGAGGACCAACCTTCAGAAGTCACTGAACCAGATTCTGATAGTCACCCTCTGACTATTGCTCCAGAAAAGGCAATTGCAACAGAAGAAGTTATTAAATCAGAAGAGGCTACAGAGTGTTCTGAACGACATGCAACCCCTGAAGATACACCAACTTCGTCTCTAGTCATGCAAACTCTGGAAGAGTTGAAGAAGGAGAATGTCTTAATCCATGCCAGACTGGATAAGCAAGAAGACATAAACAAAGAGATCAGGGATATATTGGATAAACAAGAATATACAACAAAAGAAATCAAAGATATTCTAAGAAAGCAGGAAGAATCAAGCACTCAGATTAAGAGCTTGTTGGAAGCATTGTTCACGTGACTTCCCCCTCCTTCTTAGATTTTCTTTAACTGTTTATCTGTATTTTTCATCTTATCCTCTTTGTTTCTGAAAAATGTCATTGCATTCTGTTTTCAATATAAATCATCTTTTTTATTCTGATTATATTGTTTTTTTGATACCAGACAAAAAGGGGGAGAACGTAAGATAATTTCAATAACAGTATACCGGGACAAAGTCTCAAACATTCTGAATATCTTAACTTCTATGTTTTCTGAAAAACTTGAACATGAACATATTCTGATAAAGACAGAAGGAGATGCATCAAAAGCTCTGACGAGAAGGAACTTCAGGGAAGTAACTCATCTCTATCTGAGTAGTCAACTCAGGGGGAGACTTTCTTAAGTTTTTTGTTCTATATTTTTCATTGAAAATCCTAGTTTTTGTCATCATCAAAAAGGGGGAGATTGTTAGAACATAGTTTGATTCTACAACCCTTAATTAGAGTTTTGATGATAACAAACACAAAGAACAAATATGCATTCTAAATTTGTGTTATTTTGTATGCAGAAGTTCTGACTGAAACAGCATCATAAGTTAAGCTACAGAAGCTTTCAAGTTGAGGCAATCAGAATGTTCTAAAGAATGATGATCAGAATCTGCACTGAAGTAAAGGATACTCTGATTCTGAACAGAAGTCTAATATACCATCAGATCTTCACATCTCTGAGTCATCAATATTCTGAAGTAAAAGCAGCATGCAAGATTCTAGTTCCGAAGCGTTACTTTTCAATTAAGACGGTATCACATGCAATGGCTTCATTCAGACAAGAATCTTCTCAATATGGAAATAGCATTGAGTGTCCATTATCACGCTTTATGTTGGACAAGATTTCCACGCCTATATAAACAAGCTTAAAGGAAAAATCATTCACGATTTTGATATACAACTGCTCATACATCTAAAACGCTGCAAACATTCATATTCACTCATACGCTCAAATTGTGTAATATATCACAATAGTGATACAGTTTTTGTAACGAAAAACAACAGTATACAGTAAATCATTTTCTTTTGATTAAGCTAGTTTTCCTTGAGATAAATCGGGTTATGGTTGTACTCAAGAAGACTTTGGCAGTTGCCAAAGTAGTATTATAATCAAGTTTTGATTAGTGAATTAAGTCCTCGTTGGAGAGAGGCGAAATCACCTTAGTGGGTGGACTGGAGTAGTTTGAGATCAAACGAACCAGGATAAAAATATCGTGTCTACTGCTTTTGATTTTAAGTTTCAATTCACCCCCCCCCCCCTTATAAAAACCTAAAATGAAATACAGACAAGGGGAGGAGGAAAAACAGTAAGGAAAAAATAAGATACAAATCATAAAAAATTATTACAGTAATCTTGATCCATTGTCGCAATCGGGCCACTCCAGATCCAACTGCTTCACTCCCTCTACGCACGTTTTCTAATCGGTCACAACCTTGTTAACTAGAATCGTCGTCCGCCTTTGTAAACCGAAGTTGCGCTACGCCAACCGCCAGAATCGCGCCTCCCTCTTTGCGCAAACCACCTCATAACTGCAACATCACCATCACCGCCGCTCACAAACGCGCCGCCGCTGGGTTTTGAGGTTAGGGTTTCACTCTTTTCTGTGGGGACAGGGAAGAAGAAGAACAATGGGATAGAGCGAGAGGGAGTAGAGCTTCCGCAGGTGAAGAATAGAAGGGCTAGGGTTTGTGTTTGTTTGGAACAGAGAGGAAGAGGAACCTAGACACGAAAAGAAGTGATACGCGGAAATAGTATGGCAAGGGACTTAGATTGAGAAGTGAGTTAGGTTTTAATCCCAACTGGGCCTTATTTGCAATTCAAAAGCCCAGTACGAACTACTCATGCACCACCTTTTTTTTTATTTTCAATTGATAAGTAACTCTTGTTTGGGCCTTATTTCCCTAAGCCCGATTTCTCATTTTTTTATATATGTTATTTCGTTCTTTGGGCCATTGTTGTTCCTCTTTCCAAAGCCCAATACAGATTTACTACTCACCCCCCATTCTCGTTTCACTGGCATGTTGAAGCGCACCCCCTGGCCTTTTGGGCCTGAATTCAGAATCTGAATTCAGGCCTTTCCTAATAACACCCCCTAGTTTTACTACTATAGTATAATATGCACCCCCACCAATTTATTTTTATTTACTATTTTCTTTTATAAATTTATTTATATACTTATTTATTTATTTATTTTTCTGTATTTATATATATTTATATTTATATTTATATTTGAATAATTATCATATTATATATTATTTATTATTACAAATAATTGTTTATTTTAGATTTAGTTAAAATATATAATATTGCTTATTTATATTAAATTATATCTTTTAATCACACGCTTAGGAATAATTTTCGCAACATAATTTAATTTAATATAATATATCAAAATATTAAAACCCGCGACTTTGAATTACTACATCCGCGAGCGACACGTGGCTAATATTTGGCCAGATGATAAGGGGCTATATCATACTCCTCCACTATACGTCTAAAAATATTCAAATGATCACCAAACTATTTTTCGTAATAAATTAATTCAACATTAATTTTCGAAAAGGAATACGGATATATTTAAGATTAACTTCGTACTTGGTCTAACAAACTCCGCTTATTCATACTCTTAAACCACGTATGCGAGAAATTCAAAATATATTTCTCAATCCATAAAAAACATAAACAAAATCGCGAACTATGAAATGGGACTCTGATTCCTCCTAAGAGGATACGTATGTAAGTACGAAGTGTGCCTAAGACGGGGGGTGAATTAGGTACTTTAAAAATTCTGGTTTTTAGTGATGATGGTTCTTATTTTTCTGGTTATAAGTGAGTTTAGGAAAGCTTAAAAATGCATAAAAATAAAGAGACACAGGCGATATATCCTGGTTCCCCTCACAGTCCGAGAGTACTCCAGTCCCCTTTCAACATGAAAGAGGTTTTCTTATTGTGGAAAACTTAAACAAGAACTACCAACCAAACCAAGAACAATCCTCTTGGACCAAGAACAATCCTCTTGGATTTTCACTAAGTTACCTATGAGAACAATCCTCTCAATGTAACTACACTTGTATCTAACAACTTGGAAAGACAAGATTTCAACAAAAACACTTAAACTTAATTCCAACAATCCTGGAAAATAAGTAAGTAAATATCAATTTGTGAGTTTGAGTGAGTAGAGTAATATTGATCACTTAGAGTGATTTGACAATGTATAATCTTCTTCTTGCAATAATAATATTGTACAAAGACTCAAGATATATTTGCTCAAAGTTTTCTGTTTGTTAATGTATGAAAATGTGCAAAAAACTTATGCATGAAAATGGAGAATGCTTGAGTTTGTATTTTTAAATTTCAGGAAATATTTATTGAAAGAAGGTGTTAGATTTGGATTTGAAATTTAATATTTATATGTTCATAACACCCTTTTGAAACATTATGAAGATCTGGAAATGTATCATGAACAAATACCAAGTTTGAGTGAAAAGATGTAATGAAAAGGCATGATGAAAAGGCATGAACAAAGATGTTATTTTTCAAATTCGTGCAGTATGCAATCGATTGCACCCTTGGTGTAAATCGATTGCACAAGGTTTTTAACACCTATTTTTTCAAAATCTTTAAGAGTGCAATCGATTGCACTATCAATGTAATCGATTGCATGCAAAGTCAGTAGCAAAAAGTAACTGAGTGCAATTGATTGCACTTGCAATGTAAATCGATTGCATGAGAAACAGAAGCAAACGTTTTGAAAAAATTAAGTATGCAATTGATTGCATAGGTAATGTAAATCGATTGCATATAGAAACAGAAGAAAAAGATCTGAAATTTTGAAGTGTGCAATCGATTGCACTAAGATGTAAATCGATTGCATGCAGAAGAAAAATGAAATTTTATCTTTGAAAAGCTTGAGTAATGATTCTTAAATATTTCTTTTTCATTTTTGAGCATCTATATCTTAAGATCAAAGTAGATAATATTATTATACCTTTAAAGTTGTTGAGAGCTTTGAATGAAGATATTATCCTTGGATGCTTAGATGCTTGATCATAAATCTTTGCCTTCTTTGTTAGCCATGGTTTGTCTTCATAAAAAAAAGCTTATTTGTGAAGCTTAATTTTACATTCTCCCCCTTTTTGATGATGACAAACAATCTTGCTTTATGCGATGTACCTCCCCCTAAGATGCAAAACTCCCCCTATGTAGGAGAGGGTTGGAATCCTTTGAAATTTTTCATCTTGATTGGAGAGTACCTTGAAAGTTAAGACACGGGAAATACAAGCATAAAGTACCATACATCTTTCTCCCCCTTTGACATTATCAAAAAGAAGGGAAATATGCCTAAAGCAAATAATAATAGAGCAATATATTAACAAAATTATAGAATTTAAAACAGTAACACAAATTGTTTAAGAGTTACACAGAAAATTGAACAAACTAAACATTGAAATAACATAACAGAAAAAAAAGTCAGCCAGAACATTAAGGGTGATGCATGTCTGGATGGTTGTAAGACCATGAGCCTTGGTTCGGGAATTGTTGTTGAAGTGGAGATTCTGTATAATATGGAGGAGGAGCAGCTGGGTTATTTGGGTCGTATGGTGGGATATGAAGGTGAGAATAAAGGTACGATAATTGTTGGTTCACATCCGAGCGAAAATCATTATCCGGGTTGTAGTGGAGTCATTGATTGAACTCCATTGATTGTTGATGTTGGTGTTCATAGAAGAAAACTGTTGAGACATGTAGTCCATGAGCTCTTAATTGCTTGGACCAGAGGGAGCAGTAGGAGGAGGAGGCACAGCCTCACCGCCTTTAACTTCTTAGTCATTATCTTCATTGCCAGTAACATCTTCACCAATGTAGGTAATGGTCTTTGTCTCCGGATTAAAATGTACGCACATTCTTGAATCAACATTCTTAATTGAAATTTTGTTTAGATTAGGATCCATATCCACCTTTTCAAAACCACGAAAATCCACACCAAATTCTTCCATAATCAAGGTGACAAAATAAACATATGGAAGGAATTTAGACTTTTCATCCACTCTCAGCATATGCATCATGATCATTCTTGCCTAGTTTACATTTACTCCTTTCTTCCTTGCATAAATAAGCTGCATCTCGAAGTCGGTAACTGTGCAATGGTTTCCAGCTCTTGGAAACAGTATATAGACCAGAAAATAATGAAATAAGCGATCGTCTATATGGAGGTTACCTGCACTCCAGGAGTCTCTGGATGGAATTACTCCGCCAAGACCACGAATCCGTTTGGCGCGAAATTCAGCTTCACTTAACCGCCCAATGCTGTAAAAGAATCCCTTTTTCTGATAACCATCCCATATTTCGTTTTCAGGATCATATAGGGAGCTTCCAGTGAAAGGAATATGCAAGATATCACCAACAACCTGAGGAGTTAGAGAGATACGAGTGCCCAGCACATATGTAACTGTTGTACCCCAAAATTTTCCCTCCCATATTTCTCAAGACATGTCAAGAATAATCTCCAAGTTGCTCAAGATTGCTCAATGGTTGGACAGTCAAATCACCTCCTAAGGCAGTCAACCTCAAATTAGGGTTTTATGTTGCATCAATGTCTTTACATACAAATGGCCTCAAGTGCTTACCAATGTCTTAATATGTTCTTAAGTTCATCCATGTCAAATTTCAAGCCTTGTAGAGGAAGTTTGGTCAGTCAATTGCTCAAGAGGTCCAAAAATCGACTGTGCTATGGCAAAAGTCAAATGTGTCCTAAATACGGTCAAACCTCAAGATTTTTTGTCAACATTATCATTTTGAAGGATAATTCATCATTTGATCAAGGGTTGATCATGATTCATCAAGGATTGCTCAAGATTCATCAAGATTCAAAAGTTGCTAAATTAGGGTTTTGTAGGAAAAGTCAACTCAACTTTGACCAAACATAACTTTCTCATACTTTATGAGAAATGACCCATCCAAAGCTCATTTTAAAGAGGATGCAATTTCCTACAATCCATCTTCACACCCCAAGATCAAGAAAAGCACTCACAAAAGTTACAAATTTGGACATTATAGGTCATTTTTGAAAGTCAACAAAAACACCTTTTTTGCCAAAGCTTATAACTTGAGCATGGAACATCAAAATGAGATGAGACCAAAAGGTTGATTAGAGGACATCTAAAGGTTTCTAAAAAGTCCAAGAACACCTCCAAAATTTCAAAATTGAAGAAGATATGCATTGTTGAAGTTGGGCATTTTTCCAAATTTGCCAAAAGTCAACTATCCTCAAAACTCCAATTTTTGACAAAAAGGCCCACTTTTTTCCACATGATATAGTATTGTCATGCCACACACGTGTCCCATATTTGATTTCATGGCCATTCATTTATTTTTCTATTTTATTTAATTTTTATTGATTTAATTCATTTTTAATCAATATTAAATCAAATAAAATCTAAAAATTGATGAAATAATATCTTTGTGATTTGTACAACTTTCAATTATCATCATGAACCAAATCAAATTCGTATCAAGCTTGGTTATGCACAAAAAATCAGATTTGGCCTATATTTGGAAATTTGATTATGGTGATCAAAAGCAAATCTTGATTCTTCAATGCATATGGTTTAATGCCCAAGTTTTAACCTAAACACATTCTATTATATGCACACAAGAGAGGCAGACCAAGAACACGCACAAAACACTGCTGAAACGGCCAGAGGAACTTTGGAAAAAAGCTTGAAAATTTGGAAATCAAAAACAACATTGGAGCTCGATTCAAACAAAAAGCTTGGCATTAATCCCTTGCTGGCAATCCCCTGAAGCAATACCAATCAAAATCAAGCCTTCTCATTGCCTAAAACTCGCTGTAAGTGTCCACGAACCAAGCTCTGAACATGGAATCCGAATCTCTAATTCTTGCATCTTTTCTTTAAAATCTTGGCATATTTGTGTTTGTTGTTTGATTTAGAACGTTTTGGCATTATTCAATTTTATTTTTGGACCCTGTATCATGATGCTCGAACCTAGGGTTCTCGT